AAAACGGAACGTTTTTTTCGAGAAGCCGCAGTCAGAGCCAATAATGGACGCCCAGCAAAGTAAGCAGAATCCTTGTTCTTTTTTCTTTTTTAACAAATTCGTGTGTTCCAGTGTCAATGAAAAATGTACAAATTAGTCGAATTTCTTAAAGTTGGTGCTTCTGTAGATTTTGCTTGCTGAATTTTGTGAATTCTGAAAAACTCGACCACTTTTGAACATTTGCTCAGTGTATTAATGCTAAATGAAACTTGTGAAAACCAACGCCCGGCATATAGGTTCATCTCAGTAACATTTTTAACATGGGATTCCCAGGCAGGTTGTCCAGGTGAACTTGGTATTCTTGGTATTTCTCGGAGGTAAACTTTATAATAACTATTAAATCTAATGATGTTGTTCAAGTGATTTTGAATAGTGCCAGTTGCTATGACGGAAGTGAGGCGCAGCGTGGTTTTAGCCTAGCGGAAGCAATCAAAATGTAAGCTTTGCTATGGATTCATGGTTCCAAATAGTTGCCATTTTCGCTGCAGTGCTCGGCAGAATTGCGTAGAGAGCAGTATAATTAAAAAATAAAAAGCTTTATCTATTTTTGTTTGTCCCATTAGCACCTTTATTTTTTTTTTTGTTCGAAATCTATTATTTAATAGTTAAAGATTGGTAGCTTTGAAGAAACTGGAGTTCAAAGAGTTGGAGCACGGGAACGGAAATGAAGCTTCCGGCGCCTTATCTTCCGAAAAATCGGCACACCAAAATTACATATTTGTGACATATGGGGGCATCGAAATACGATGCTACACTGCTTCTTATACACAAGATTAAAGAGCACTGATTAACTGCTAAAATTCAGCAATCATCCTGCAAAATTATTATGAATTTTGAAAAAAACACAAGAAACAGTTTGCGTGCATAATAAATTGACTCGATATCGAGACTTGCATTTATATGCTAGCTTTACTTAGTAACATTCGAGCATTACTTCCTGATTTTAATGTGGCACAAAACGCACATATTTCTAGACAGCCGTTGACAAAGCAAGCTTTTCACAAAATTCCCTTTGTTTTAGTGCAAAAACTTCATTTATCATTTAGCAGAAATTTCTGCCCTATGTTATTATCCAGAAATCATAGTACATTAGTCATGGTACATATGGAAATCATAATACATATATCAGTTACGGGAATTATGACTGAGCACAACGGCGAAGTATGGAGAGATGGGTCTGATTTTTAACGGCTTCAAAGTTGATTATATCTATATATTAACATTAGCCTAG